TTTTTTTAATTTTTTTCTTCTTTAAGAGGTAAGGCATTGCTATCTTACCCAGGCTGGATTTGAACTACTGAGCTCAAGCGATTCTCCCACCTCAGCCTACCTAGTATCTGGGACTATAGTCATGCACTATTGTGCCTAGCTCAAATCATAATAATGACGTTTGGTAGCTCAACCACCTGATTCTTTATTTCTGGAAGGGACTTTAGTCTACTCTCACACTTGATTGTTCATTTAGATGGATGTAGAATTCCAGGTTGATAAACATATTCTGTCACAAATTTACAACTGAAGGCATTGCCTCTTTGTCTTCTGCCATTCAGTTGATAAAAAGTCTGGTGGTAATCTAATTCTTACACCTTTGTAGGTGAGCATTTTTTCCTTTCCTGTGACAAATTTGTGATTATCTGATCCTTAGAGATCTGAAGTTTTATCATTTGTATCTAAGAGATTTTTTTTCCCATCCTCCTTAGTGCTTAATGAGCCTTTTCAGTCTGAAGATTCATATCTCTGAAACTATGAGATTTTTTTCCCATGATTTTTTTTTTTTTTTTTTGATAACTGGTATAGTCATCCTCCAAGATGGTTCTTCTGAATGATCTCTATCTCCTGGTCCTGATGCCCTGTGTAGTCTTCTCCTACATTGATGTGCATGACCTATAGAATATGGCAGAAGTGAAGGTATATCATTTCTCATATTAGGTAATGAAAGACATTACGGCTTCTGTCTTTGTTACTTTCTCTCTCTCTCGGGTTACTCATTCTGGTGGAAGCCAGCTGCCATGGCATGGGTATCCCTGTGGAGGCCCATGTGAGTGAGGAACTGAGGCTTCTTTCCCCAGCAGTCATGTGAGTGAGCTTTGTTGTGAAACTTCCTGTCCCAGTTAAGCCTTTATTTAATTTTGTTATTTTTTTCTTAAAAAAAAAATTTTTTTTTTTTTTAACTAAAGAGACAAAGTCTCTCTGTATTGTTCAGGCTGGCCTCAAACTCCTGGCCTCAAAGCAATCCTTCTGCCTCGGCCTCCCAAAGTCCAGGATTACAGGTGTGAGCCACTGCATCTGGTGCCAGTTAAGCCTTTAAATGACTGCAGGTTTGATAGTAATTTCAGGAGAGCTCCTTAGCCAGAACCACACCACTAAGCTGCTCCCAGATGCCTGACCCTCAGAAACTGTTGGAGATAATTCTTTTTAAGCCACTGAGCATGAGGGTATTTTGTTATACAGCAATACTTTCCTTCTTAACATTTTATTCTTTTTTGGGACTCGTAATTGGATATTGGATCTCCAAGACTGATCTTTTAATTTTGTAATGTGTTTTATCTTTTATATCATTTGTTCTTTTTGTTTTATACACATATAGATTTCCTCTCTCCAGTATCTTGTTCTTACCATCTGTATAGAATTTTCTCTAAAAATCTATCTGAATAAGTTTAGGGTGTTTCTTTTTTTCTTTATCTGTTTCTCTCTCTAAATTATCCTTTATCCTTCTAAATTGCTTGAAAAACTTATGTTAGTCTTTCATGTTGTTAGTTTTCCTCATTTGCCTGATGATTCCTGATTGTCCTGGAGAGGTGGTCTGGGTAGCTCATGTGGGTTCATTTTACTGAGGTGTAAAGAGGTTTAATCCTAATAATTGTCTCTAGTCTGTGTACATGGGTAAGGTGTGTTGACTATCAGATTTGGATTAGGGATGGGAGAAGGGCTGATCACTCTAGGTTGGAGTGCCCAGATGCTAACATTCACATTAGAAGCCCCAGTTTTCTCTAAGCTTCTTGTTGAGTTTCTTTGGATAAGAATAGGCTGGTTTTTGTTATTGTGGATGATCTGTTTTTTCTGTGAGGTAAATGCCAAGCCCCCTGAATGCTCTGTTTAGTCAGAGTTGGGGAAGGAATTGGGGTGCTATGTAGTGAAGTCTACATACAGTCCTTCAAATAATTATTCTGTTTTCAGAGTCATTTTATACTTATGGCTCCTGTCTTCTGCCTCATGTGCTGATTCTGAGCAGAGTTGACATTCTAATGGATAGATGAATTCTTGCTTTTCTTTAACTTTCTGATATCACATACTTTTCTCTGTCATCATGCCTCTATCTTCTCCAGTCTTTCAGAAATGTTATTGACATCTCCTATTTGCTGGTGAAATTCTCACCTACCACTTCATCCTTTTTCTATATTCTGTGGGAATATTTCTTCATTTCTTTTCTATCTTTATTTCAGTGGGATTGTTTTTAAAAAGAATGAGGGACAAAAGTAGATATTTAGCCTGTAATCTTGAATTAAATACTTAATATGCATTATTGCAGTGTATAAAGTTAATTTTTTATAACAAAAGCACTAAATTTTTATTAAAATTTAGAAAACACAAATAATAAAAAATAAGAAATAATATATTTTTACTACCAGATTTCCTAACCTAGGTTGT